ATGCGTAGTGATCTGACCAGCTGTCAGCCAACGCCACAAAACCAGCATGCCGCTTCCGGCCCCACCCCCGCGCTCCCCTGCCTGCGTGCCCCCCCTCCCCCTCCCGTGACTTTCCTACAGACGGACGAGCCAGCGCCGGCACCCGCGGCTGCGCCAGCGGCGCCGGCGGCGGCGGCAGCCCCCGCGGCGGAGGAGGGCGCGGAGCCTATGGATGCTGACCTGGCGCTCGCCCTGGCCATGTCGATGCAGGTGGGGGGCGCGCGCCGCTGACTCAGCGGTCGGCTTGAGGGCCCGCGGCGGCTGGCGGCCTGCACGGCAGCGTGATCTACGGAGCCTGGGGCCGTTGCTCTGCCCACCAGTGGCGCCCCAGGAAATGCAGTCGTTGTCGGGCGCGTCTTCCCACAGTCTGGTGATTTGCACAGCAGCAGTGAGCGCTGGGCGCCGGGCCGTTGAGTGACTCGGCTTGGGACGGGCTCGCGGGCGGCCTTTCAAGCGGATTTGAGCTGACTAGCAAGCGCCTGCCCGCGTCGCCGCTGCCCCTGCCATCGCCAGGATGGGAAGGAGGAGGGCGTTGACGAGAAGAAAGAGGGCGGCGCTGGGAAGTGAATTGCCCGGGGCCGCCAAGCCGCGGGGATTGCGTGAGGCCGGGCTCCAGAGGGGCCAGGGCAGCTGCCCAGCACCTGGGTCGTCCGCCCGACGGCGGCGACGCGGCGCCGCTGGCCGGGGTCACTGCTGTGCGTTTGGTCGCCTCCATGACTGTAATTGAATCGTGTGCACTTAGAGTTGAAATGAAAAATTTGAGTATGCGGTGACAAATGTTCGGTCAGGGAGGGGATGTGACATCACAAGGGTAAGGCATGGGGCAGCTGAGTCATCAGACCCCTCCCGTCCCAAAACGGCACCTCCGCATCGCCGGCTAAGGCGCGCACAGCCGCGGCGGCAGCGCACAGTCGGAATGGAAGGGCAGCAGCGGCCGGGGCGGCTGTACGCGACCGAACCACCCGTCCAGCCGCAGCGGCTGCGACTGAGCTGGAGCTGCTGGGGCGGGCCAAACAGACAGGGCGCCGTCTCGCAAGCCGCAGGCCGCTGTGGCGACGCGGCAGACGGAATAGGCAACTAATTGGGGCGTGCGCTCGGACGCGGCCGGTGCAGTGAAACTTAATCCTGTGAACTCCAAATGCCCTGATTCCTAGCAACTGATGCAGCTGCCACCCGAGGCAACATGGGCGGCCGGGGCTCGATTCGGGGCCGCTGGTGGTGGCAAGCACCCGGCTGCTGCTGGTAGATGCGCCTGCAACAGCACAGGCCGCTCCTCAAGTGAGGTCATCCTTGCCCGCCGATCAAACCGCCGCGCAAACAGGCAAGCGGAAAACATACTGGCGCGCCGCAGGCGATTGAACCTGGGTCACAAGTACAATGGGAATGCGCCGCAGGCATGGGCAGCATCGGCCCTGCTGCGGCCTGAGGGCGGACTCAGCTGGTCCTGGATTTCAGGCGTGACACGCCGCAACGTCAGCAGCGGGCAGTCCGCGTTCGAACCGCCGCCCGCCCGCACGCGCCTGCAACCCCAAAAGCTGGCTGCGGCAGCTGGCCCACGTTCCAAACTCGAGTCGGCACACGTTGAGGTGGACTGTTCCACCTGGCTGAGGTGGAAAGGGGCATTGCTGAGGAGGAGGCGGCAATCACAGGCTTGGCCTGTTTGAGCCCTTGCAGCACCTTTGTCGTGTCCGCGCTCGCAGGCGCTGCCTTCCACAGAGCACGGGCAGCGCCACGGCTTTGCCGTGGGCGCACTGTGCCACGCAAGGTCTGTGCAGGGCAGTTGCAGGTGCCACGAGGACGCCAGCGGGCTCTGGCAAGGGGCGCCGACCTATCTTCGGAAGTCGTGGGGTCGCATTATGACGGGCTGCGCTAATGTTGGTGCATTCTAGTGTCCCAGAGGGGTGAATAGGTTGTATTTGCAGCTAGGCAGCAGCGACGGACCTGTGGTCTTACAGCGTCCATGGCACATGGCTGTACTGCATGAGGTCGCACCAAATGTCGCCGGCCAGCGGTGGTGGGCGCGCGGTGGCAGACATTCCCAGCAGCTGCAGCCCAGGAGGGGGGGGCTGCTCCTGCCCGCTGTGGAAGGGAGGGCGTGAGGCTGCAAGGATGCGGGTAGGGAGACCGCCATTCTTCACTCTCGGTCCTGTACTGTACACTGCCAATTTTGTAGCCGCTGCATCTGAAGCCGTCCTGCCAAATTGGATTTTGCAAGCAGTGCAAGGCCAAACGGGCGCCACAAGGGCCCAGGTATGTCAACTTCCCCCTCCCTGAGGGCCCGAGCGGCGGCTGCACTCACAGCCTATGTAGTAGGCTACAGAAGCTGCAGGTCTTGGCTTGGCTGCTGAAGTAAAGATCGCGGCGCACACTGGCAGCTGTGTCGGGGTCACGCAAGCACCGGCCCGGGTCCCCTTGAAACCCTGGGCTCACATCTCCTGCTCAAGTCCTGGATGCCGGTTGACACATGGCTGGCTGCCGCTGTAAGAAACAGCCAGCAGGCAGTTTCTGCGGGTACCATAAGATCCACCTGAACTGCTTTGTGTCGCTCGCAGCTGCTTTCGCGATTGCAGGGGTTACAAAAATGTAGGCCCCTCCCCCACAAACCCCTCCGCATTTCTATAGCTCAAGCAGAGCGCGACCACCAATCACGTCGCACAGATGTGCGCGAGCAGCTACCGCACGGCTCTCAGTGCTCAGTCTGCCTCACCCATGCCGAAGGGGACCCTGCCTGGTGCAATACGTATAAAGCCGAAGGGCGGGATTGAGCGGCGCTCGGGCCGTGGAAGCCGGCGCCCGCCGCAGATTCTGATGCGCGGGGGGTGGGGCTCAGGAGATGAAACTCAAGGCCTGTCGATCAAACCCCTCGGGCCGCGTGCGGAAGTCCCGAGGATGAAAAAAAAGCAGCCGGCGGCCGCGTCAGGGCCGGCGGTGGGATGATAGAAATCAGAGGGGCTGCCCGAGCTGGGGCCGTTTTTAAGTTGTTGACGGTGCAAATGCAAAGCAGACGAAATGCTGGGCGGGTGGGCGGCGTGGCGGCCCCTTGTCCGACGCCTGAACGCAGAGGCGGGCCCACGCAAAGACGACACAGCCCCCAAGATACTGCGTGCTGTGCATAGACAGAGGCGCCGCGCACGCGACCAGCGCATAAAAGTGGACGAGTGATACTCTACGGCAGTTGCGAAGCGATCAAGCTGTATTCAGCCTGCAACCAGGCTGTAACAAGTTGCTGAGGGCGGGCTTCCACAAGCGGCGGTCAGGGGCCTGCGACTCGGCCGCGGCTTGCGCCGACCTGATGCGCCGCGGTCGCGCCACGCACGGCGCCCGCCGCGGCCCCCGGCCCCTCCGCCGCGCGCCGCCGCCGGCCCCGCCCCGTCCTGAGGCCGCACGCCCGCACGGGAGCGGTCTGCATTCTGGCGGATCAACGCTGGCGCGCTACCGCCCGGCTGCCCGCACCGAGGGGATTGGCGACGGCGTCACTGGCGGGGGGCAGCCGGTCAGGGTGATCTGGGACGTCGCCGCCTTGGCCACCTTGGACTGCGACCCACTCAGCGGCTGCGCGGACACCAGTCCGGCGAGCTGCAGGGACCCGGCGCCGGCCGCGCACTGCTGCGCGCCAAACGGCCCCACCTGAAGCGTCCAGATGTAGTTCTGTGACACGCAGACCCTCGCCGCCGAGCTCGGCGCCGGGTTGCCCGGCCGGCCTCCGCTCGCCGCCTTGGGCTGCGGCGGGGGCGCGCCCCTGGCGCCGCCCCTGACCTCCCACGTGGCGGAAACCGCCGCGCAGCTGCCCTCCTCCAGGACCTTCGCGCCCATGAACGTGAAGTTTGTCACCTGACTCATCGGCACCGGTGACGCCCCCTGCAGATACGCGACCACCTGGCCGCCCTGCGGCTGCGCGATCGGCTGGGGAAGCTTCCACGCGCAGCGGACGACGGCCGGCGCCGGCGGCAGCCGCAGCATCTTCCCCGCGCGCCCGACCGCGGTCTTCGGGCAGTCCACGGGCGCGGACTGCGACGAGCCGTCGGCGAAGCTCGCGACGACGAACGGCAGTCCGGCGGTAAGCACAACGGCGCCCGGGTTCGCGATCGACATGGCGCCCTCCAGGCGCCAGTCCTGGGACGTCACAGTCCGTTTGAAGTCCACCCGGACTGTCACCAAAGCGGACTGGCCGACGGCGACCTGGACTGGGGGCCCGGGGGAGTCGCCGGACTCCAGAAGGGCCACGGGCGCAGCGGACGGCAGGGCGGCGGCGCCGCCCACGAGGTCAGAAAACACAAACCCTGTGTCAGCCTGCGCCTGCACAACCCCCTGCCCGTCGGTGTCGCCGGCGCGCCGCAGCCGCCGCCGGCCGTTCTGGCGCGCCAGCGTGCCGAGCAGCGCCCCCAGCTCGTCGCCGGACTGGGCGGACTGGACGGAGGCGCCGGTCACAGGGCGGCCGACGCCCACCATGGGCATGATCGTCGCACTCGCCGCCCACGCATACGCCGCGCGGCTGCTGGGCGTGACGGACACGCCGGCCACCGCGGCGGCGCCCGCCGCGGGCGGGCACCCCGCGACGACGACGCTGAGCGTCGTGTTGGCAGCGACCGGCGCGGCCGCGGCCGCGGCGGTCGCGTCC